TTTCAGGGGGAAAAATCAACACATTTATAGTTCCTATATAAACATTCTTTTCTTGACATCATTTCTGTTATAGATTATCCTTAATTCTTTATAGTAGACAGTGTAATGTTTGTTGTGTGCTACTTAATTTAAGCTTTAACATTAAGGATAATCACCTGCCATGATGGAGAATCTGTTCCAATCATTTAATACAATTTCTTTCATACATTTCATACAACACATTTCTTCTTTCCTGAGATAATTATTACTATTTGTTAGCTGAATTTTATGTTCAAGCAATTTATTTTCAGAAAGAGTCTACATACAATGTTCTGGTTACCTAGTGCTGCTGTGACAAGAATATACCACAAATGGGATGGTCTTAACAAACAGCAGTTTATTCTCTTCCAATTTTGGAGACTTTAAGTCTAAGTTCAAAGTGCCAGGCTCTAGGGGCTGGGTGAAAGGCCCTCAGCCTTGGGCTTTAGCTCTGCCTCCAGCTCCCGGCCCACTGGAGCTCGAGGCATTTCTTCACTCAGACAGCTGCTGGCTGCTGAGGCTGACAAACCCAATATGACAAATAAAAAGGCACGGTCCCGATGTTACCAAACCACACAGCAGACCATTAGTTTAAGTCCATTGTAAATCCCAAGGTTGGCAGAGCATGGCAGGCTGCTGAACAATGACACGGATACATACAAGGTCCAAGCATGTCATAAGCTAGAGACCATTCCCAAAGCTGCTGCTTATATGTGGGAAGCAGACCACATACCCAAAGCAGCTACTCGGCTGCTTGTGGTAGATCCCACCATGGAGTTGATTGCCAGTCTCATCTTGGGGAATAATTACCACCAGCTGCCCAGCCATTCAACCAGGCCCAGCCAAGTTGACACACAAACATCACCACCACATACGTGTACTTACTAAGTTCCTAAGATTGAGTTTTCCATGAGAAATTGATGAGTATATCTAAAAATGGCACAGTGGCAGTGTCTGACCCCCTTTAACTTCATGAGGAGAGGAGGAGGATCAAGATTCACAGCCCAAGGCTGATTCGTATGAGGTAGAAAAATTCTTTGTTGTTGTTGTTGTATGTGCCGTCGAGTCGGCCCCGACTCATAGCGACCCCTCCTTGGGTTTCCGAGGCAGTATCACTACGGAAGTAGGATTGCCCAACCTTCCTTCCGAGGAGTGGCTGGTGGGTTTGAACCGCCAGCCGTCTGGTTTCACTAACAGTATAAGAACAGCTATCGAGGCTAGTTTATCTGATCAAAGATAGTTTGGGGAGAGATGGGTAGAATAAGCTGAAAGAACCAGAAATTTTCAATTTGATACTAAGTATAATAATATAAAACCACTGAAGAATTTTAAGGAAGAGATAAATGAAAACATGAAAAAAATTCAAGTACAATTTATATGGGATATCTAAAGATAAATGATATAAATAAACATTTTCAAATGGCCAATGAGAAGGAATGTCCATAATATTTCTCTGAATATTTATACACAACCCTTTAATATCTGCTGCTTTTCAGAAAGGGCGCTCTGGTGGCGTAGTGCCTAAGGCATTTGATTGCTAACCAGAAGGCTGGCAGTTCAAACCCACCAGCCACTCCTCAGAAGGAAGATTGGACAATCTACTTCTGTAGAGATACCGCCTCGGAAACCCAAGGAGGGGTCTCTATGACTCAGGACCGACTCAATAGCAGTGAGTTGTTTTTTTTTTTCCCCCAGCAAAGACTTTTATGATGATCTTCATACAGCCTTCACCCTCTAGATTCCCACGTGTTATGGCGTGAATTGTGTCCTGAAACAATATGTGCTATAAATCCTAACCCTTCTACTTATGGATGCAATTCCTTTTGAGAATAGGGTTTTCTTTGTTATGTTAATGAAGCCATATCAGTGGAGGGTGTGTTAACCCAGTCACTTTTGGGATATAAAAAGAGCAGATTGTGCACAGAAGCAGGGAAGGACAGGTGGGAGAAGATAGATGCCCTGACACATCCCGGAGGAGCTGAGGAACAGAGGCTGAAGAGACAAGGATTTACACCCAGGCCAAGAGAGAAAGCCTTCCCTAGAACTGGTGCCCTGAATCAAACTGTCAGCCTTTTAAACTATAAGGAAATAAATTTCTGTTAGTTCAGGCTATCCACTTGTGACATTTCTGTTACAGCAGCCCTGAGAAATTAAGACACTAGGTGAATTCCTTAATACACAATATGTCACTTATGAGGAAAATGTTTTAAGTGTTAACAAGATATTACTCAAATTTGAAAACATTAACTGCCTAGCTCCTTATAGGAGCTCTGGTGGCGTAGTGCCTAAGGCATTTGACTTCTAACCAAAAGGCTGGCAGTTCAAACCTACCAGCCACTCCTCAGAAGGAAGATAGGGCAATATAATTCTGTAGTGATATCACCTTGGAAACCCAAAGAGGGGTCACTATGAATCGGATCCTACTTGACGGCACTGAGTTTGGTTTTGGTTTTAGCTCCTTATAGTTTGCATTTTACTCTCTTCTAACCACATACTGCACTTTTACTCTCTTTTGTGATTCATTTTTGATTGATGTATTGGTTTTCTATTGCTGTATAATATATTAATTTTATAACAAATTACTCCAATTTGACAGCTTAAAATCACAAACACTGAATTTCAGTGTCTATAGTAGTGTCTGGGAGCTCTGGTAGCATAGTGGCTAAGACACTTGCCTGCTAACCAGACGGCTGGCGGTTCAAACCCACCAGCCACTCCTCGGAAGGA